GCATAGAAACCAGGTCCAAAAGTAATTGGTCACTTTGTGTACTTTTCAAAAATAAAAAGATTTACAATTTGGGACATTTTAAAAAATCCAAAAAAATTATATAGAAATAGACATTATGGCAAAAAAAAAAAAAACTCACCAATTTTTTACATAAAATTTAAATTATATACAAAAAAAATTATAGAGCCATATCATAATTTTTTGAAATTGTTTATTTCCACAGGTTGTACACTCAACTCGCGAAAAGTCAGCCTCATGCATACGAGTTACTTGTTCGAGTCCGAGTAGACTCGAGTCACCACATTAAAATAAATAATAACAATAATAATGATAATGATTATCATAGCAATAACAACTCGACTAAATAAGAAACAAGAACAATTTGACTATTAAAGTTCCTGTTGTTATCACATTAGCATATGAGAGAGGGAGACTCGTTGTGCCTTTACAAAAGCTTGTATCACCATATATATATATATATATATAATTCTGTTGGATTCGGATCGGATCCACTTGTATTTAGATCCAATCTAAATTATTAATTGGATCCAAATTTTAAATCCAAATCCAACCTTCCAAATGCAAGTCTTAAATCCATACCCAGATTTGAACAGTGTCCATAACTACGTGACATGGTCCCATAGGAATCATCCCACTGCAATGAATACTCTCCTTCTCTCATCTACATTACACAGTATTCTCTTTTTCATGTTTCTATCTCATATTAACTTAGGACCACGTGAGAATGGAACTCTAAACATCATATTTTGACACTTGTCTAACCACCACTATCTCAATCTCTTTCTCTGTCTCTTTTTTTTTTTTAACTCCACAGGTAAAAACCCTTCTAGAATCTGTTTCAAACTCCCAAATTTTGGGGATATAACCTAAGATATAGATTAACCTTAATAAAAAAATTTCCTAATTGGACTTTCTAAGCACTTGAAAAAAAATTAATGTCTCAAGATTGAATAGAAACCGTTCAATTTTTAAAGCGCGAGATCTACATGTTAGAAACTCAAATTTCAAAAACAAATTTCTTTTGAGAATAATCATCCACTGATTCTTAGGCGGTTCCCAAAATTTTGGATTGAAAAAGAAAATCTCCCAAATAGGTCATTTGACAAGGGAATAGAAGTAAAACTATGATCCAGAGAGAGCATAGTACACGTGCTCTTCAAATTTACTTGTATACAATGCCTTCACATAAGAAATATAACCCCAATACTAAAAAAACCAATAAAAAGCCAACAATATAAAAAGGGAAATTATTTCACGCGGGCTGGACCGCATTTCTACAATATGCGATCCCAAGGTATGAAGCATCCATCTGGATGCAAATAGGTGGTCCATCTAAAAAAGAATTGAAATTAATGGTTCAAATGTTTTCTTCATAAAATCAATATTTTTATTTTTTTATATTCATGATCTTCATATTAGAGATTACATGTCCTTAAAAATTGGGCCCGAAAATCCATCTCAAAAATAGATTTTTTAAAAAGTCAGACTCATTTCTACATGGATTCATAGAAACCAACCGTATCCATACAAAAATCGAAGCCCATTCTCTCTATCTCAAGATTGTGATCATCAACGTACCCCAGTACCATTTCCATCAGTGAGTGCAGAGTCCCCTCTCCACTGAACCCTTTGTGTGGCTGGCAATTTACCAGATCTTTGGGCCTCAAAATACAACAAAGTCTTGGTGAGTGCTTGGTGGTAATCCCCTTCAAAGGCGCCTTGGCCAAAGGGAGCAGCCACCAAGCACAAGCACAAGCACCCTAACCCCCTCAGCATTGAACCCATCTTTCTCCCTTCCTTACTCACTCACTCACTCAATCTTTTCGGACTCGGACCATTAATCTCACCATTTATAACAAACAGTGTTCACCCACTAATTCTATGTACCCTGCACCGTTGGATTTCATAGGATTCACCTTTGCTATTTTTGGTAAGCTCATAGATATACCAAGTCACCCTAGCTGTCCAACTTCACCATTTGAACTGTTATCTGCATACTTGCCCCAGTTGATTCAATGAAGATATACACTTACCTTCCAAAGGTTGACTTGCGATAACCCTAATTCTCTAATCATGGTAAGTATATAGGACAAGCCAGTACTTTAAAAAATAGATCAGTGCTCATCTCAAAAATCCATGTGGATCGGTGAATCGGCGATTCAGATAAAAAATCAGTCGGATTTAGCTTTAAAAAAATCTAAAAACATTATTAAAATTTATTATAAATGATGTTTTTTAGTAATCCAATAAGAAATGGGGGTATTCTATTAAGAACTTTCATTTTTTTTGCATCAATATACGAATATTGAGATGTTATTTCCCTGTATGAGCTACTGTTAACTATTAAATTTGCATCACACAAAAAGAGAAACATAAAATTATCATGGATGAAGTATATCATCATATATGGACTGCAATAAAGCATACAATTTGTAAAAAACGACCTAATACCAAAATGAAAGACGATGACGCTCTTCATCTTGGTCATGCTGGTGTCTTTTATTGAATTCGTGTGACAATTCATTAAAAAAAAAGTTACAATGATATAGTATCAATAAAAAAAATTACAATGATACAGTCATTCACAATACCACTACACGTAGACATTTTGACAAGCATGAATTAGCCCCTACTGGAAAAAAAATTTATTTATGCAACACTATAGATAAAAAGAGTATGTATAAGTCAAACTTAGAATCAAGTAAAAAAAAATTACAATGATATAATATCAATAAAAAAAATTTTACAATAATATAGTTATTCACAATGCTACTACATGTAGTAATTCACAATGCCACTACATGTATCAAGATAATATAATTATAAAATATATATCTAGAACATGCATACATTTTATGTATCAACATACATTTTATTGCATTAAAATTTTAACAATAAAATAAGAAATTACAAGTTAATTTCTCATGATAATCAAAACTTTGTCACGATTTTTCAAAAAATTTGAAAAACACCTACATTCACGATTTTTAAAAAAATTGATCACCAAAATTTGGTTAATCACACAAATAACACTAATAATCGTCTGAATAACATTGTTATCATCAAAACCCCTCTGAAATCATTTAAAATGATGCTTTAATTCAGCTGAAAATTTCAGTTTGGCAGATTTTTTAACTCTTTTTCTAAAATTCTTCAAAAATCAAGCAATAAAACTTTGTTAATCCCACAAATTACACCCAAAATGATATGAAAAATAGTGTTACCTTCAAAAAGCCTTTGAAATAATTCATAATGGTACTTTAATTCGGTTAAAATTTATAGTTTGGTAGGGGGGAAAAAAACAACCCAACTTTTCTTGAGAAAACCATGCCTCAAAATAAAAAATCCACTACAAATCAATCAAAAAAAAAGAAAATATGCTACAATTTATGGTCAATAACATTATAAATAACCAAAACCCTATGATATGAATAAAATATTTGCTAAAAATCGATTGGAATCGAATAAATGGCAGAAAAAAAGAAGTCCTTACATGTTCTTCTAAAACCGTGACTTCAAATCCAAACTTGACTTGTAATCGACCAAAATAAGCAAAAATAATGTACAATTTCTACTCAATAACACTATCACGAGTAAGAACCCTCTTATTTGATTAAAAAATAGTATAGTATTTCGTTTGCAATTCATGCAATGGCGAAAAACCTAAAAACAATCGTGTTATTCACAAAACCATGAATTTATGATTTAAATTCGACCTTTAAATTCGATTATAATGATCAATAAGGTTGTAAAGTGAGATCCAAAGCCTCCAAGATTCGATTTTATTCCAATAATTGATCAAAACAATCCAAAACGTGATGATTTTTCATACTTTACATTGTTTATCAAATCTTGAACTGTGAATCGGGTGGTTCACTGTAGATAATCGCCGGTTCTAGAACCGGACGATACCACGTTTTTCTACTGAAATCGACACTAAGTGACCGATTCCCGTGTCGACTCCAAAAGTCTGTTTTGACTCGATGATTTTTAAATCACTGGCAAAGATTGCCCTTCCAAAGATTGTCTTGTGACAACCCTATTACCCTAATCATGGCAAGTAAATAGGACACTCCTTCCAACTTATTGAAGGAATGGAGACTTTGTCCTTCCAAAGGTTGCCTTGTGATAACCTTATTACTCTAATTATGGTAAGAAAATGGGAAATTCAAGGATAAGGGTTTCCAAGGTGGAAAATATAGTCTAATCATCACTATATTACAATATATTTATGTATAATTTTCCCAATTTCCAAGTTGGTCCAATGATTCAAGGAATAAGGACTTTGTCCTTCCAAAGGTTAACTTGTGATGAGCCTATTACCCTAATCATGGTAAGCAAATGAGAAATTCAAGGATAAGGGTTTCGAAGTTGGGAAAATATAGTCTAATTATCATTATATCACACTATACTTATAAGGATTGTACTATATTTTCCTAATTTCCAAGTTGAGAAAATATAGTCTAATTATCATTACATTACACTATATTTATGATTATACTATGTTTTTCCAACTTGGAGGTATAATTATCATGGTTACATAAAGGGTGGGTTTTGGTGCGTTAGCGGACACACCTATTCAAATGTGGCCTCAATCTTTCCCTTATCACATGGATTTTGGACTACAAGTTTGAAGGCCGATTATCTTGATCGCTGTGATAATCGATCTAAAAGAAATAGACTTTGCGCATTAATCTATTTATATAAAAAAAAATTGGACTGTCCATCATTGGTCATTTTAGTTCTTCAAAAATCATTAGATCATAATCATCCAAACTTAGATAATGAATCTCTCAAATTTCATAGGGAAAATATATCTATGCCCCATATTTTTGGATTTCATTTCACAATAGACTCAAGGTTTTAAAAGACATCTCGAAGCATAAAAATTATAGATTTTATTTCTTCTAACCCCTGAGCTAATTTAAACATGTTTTTTAGGCCAAACAAATCTAAAAAGACATGCTTTTTCTAAAATCCATCCTCCCAAACTTCTAGAGAGAGATAAGGATTTCATGGAGGTGAGAGGTTATTGGGAGGAGAGAACAAGTTGTTTGAAAAAACACGGGAGGAGAGAGAGAGTGAGAAAGATGCACGAAGAGAGTGAAAGAGAGAAGTTTGGGGTATATAAGTGAAGAGAGAGAAATGATTGGGTTTAGAAATAGCATGTCTTTATCACATTTGTTTAGGCTAAAAAAATAAGTTTAAAGTAATGAGGAGGTTAGAAGATATCTTTTGAAACCTTAGGTTTATCAAGAAATGAAACCTAAAAATAAAGGATTTTAATATATTTTTTCAATTTTATATTAAAAATTTATTTTTAAAATAGGTTTAAATAGGGGCCTGAATATATACATCCTGAGTCGGCTGAAAAGAAATAACAAACATTTAAACATTATGCTCATTAGAATTTCTTATGATTATTTTATTCCTAATTGTAATTCATATTAAAAAAAATATTAATTTCATTTTTAAGATAGACCATAATGACTGTGACTTCCATGTACAAAAGATAAATTGTTTCTTTGTAGACATCTCTAAAACATATTACTCTATCTTCTAAAACCTATTTATTTTTTTATAACATAATTTCATATTTTAAGTTCAATATTTTATTGATTTTAAGTTTTGATTTACTTTTAGTTATTTTTTTAGGTTTGGATGGCGTTTCTATAAAACCTAGATTTTATGAAAACAAAATAAAGTCTCATCTCAAACCCTCATTTGGAAAGCATTTTTGGTAAGGAAAATTTTCATGTTGGATCGAAAATCCATTTCCAATATCGACAATGAAATTCGAAACTCAAAAAATGGTAAAGATCTTGTAGATCTATGAACACTTATTCTTATGGCAAAATAAATGATCTATATATTTGTAACAAATTTACACTATTTTTAGAGCTTGGAATCACTTTATTTTTTCACAACCATAATGTTCAAGCCAAGATGAACGATGCAAACATTTTCTAATGCTTAAATTGCAATTTTTGATGAGTTATAAGGTGAGGCTTTACTTATTTTGATAGGGCTGCAGCCCTATGAAACCATTTTTCTTTAGGTTTTATTATGGGCTAATTTTGTATATATAATAATATACAGCCATCTAAGCCATATTGGAAGCTTTGGGCCGCGATATGACCCTAGTAAGATGTTAAATCATTATACATCAATGGGAACATATGTTGCTCTGTACTTTACGTACCAACCTTTTTTTACGAGATAAAAGAGAAGCGATATTAGATCAATACATATCAGACATTTAAAAAACGGATCAATGTCTGTCCAGATGACCGTTTTATTGTAAAAAAAAACAGTGAACTAGCGAAAAAACATTTCAAAAGACAATGGAACATTGGATCAATGAATCGGCAAATTCGGATAGATATTTTACTGTAGAGAGTTGTCGTCCTATTGGTTCCCTTCTAGACAAAGCCAGTTTCCTAAATATATGTAAAACAGAAATAAGATGACTAATTACCAGATCGGACCAAACGATTTCATGCCGACCCGGTGTCTTTTAAATCACTTATACATGTACATGGGTTTTATCGTCCATCAACTCTGGCTGGTACCCAGCAGCCCAGTTCAATTTGATAGATGTAAAATCCAATGTTTAGGATGGGTTTGACTTTTTGGACTAGTATAGCACTTTCCTATTTGATAATGGGCAAGTTTTACATCTAAGTGGATATCCCAGTATCTATTTGTCTTATTTTTAAGGCTAAAAGGCAGGTACTGCAGATTTTATAAAGGACTATGGAACTTAGGGTATCAACTCGTCCTAAAAGAACACAATATTTTTACCATGCAGTCCAAAGAAATATTTTACATCTTCAGATTGAAGAGACCAACTCCATTTTTTGACTATTTCGAGAACCCAAAATTTGAACGTCTTGGGCAATGTTCTCAATATCTTTTTTAGACTATTTCAAGAACCCAAAATTTGACTTATTAAGCACTTTGATAAACCAGTCTGTCAATCTCCCCCACACACCAACAAACCTCAAATAAATACCATCTAATTCTAAAACCTTTCATATCATCATTCTCTTCAAAGTTTAAGTTTATATCACATCTAATACCTTAATCCTGTGAAAATACCCATGACCTCCGCCATCATTAATGCCAATAGTTCCTTATCATTAATGTCAATAGTTCCTTCCAATGCTATGTTCAATTGTGTTCGACATTGACAAAATTTTTAAAATAACTCACATTTTGTTAAATCTCTTCCAATTGTGTTCAACATTCACAAATTTTTTAAAATACATTCACATTTTGTAAAATCTCTTCATCCAATAGCCTTTGATCTTCATACCTAAACACTTCTCATTCCACATTTTTACTAATTTAAAGACATATTTTTCAACTTTTTTTTGTTCCCAAATTAAGTATCATAATTTTAAGCTTACCATTTGTTTAACATTTACCATGACAGAATTAGGAAAAGAAAAAGATAGTACAGCCATAAGACAGCACAAAATCAATTTTGATAATCTTGAATCAAGCCGATATTCACTTTAAAAAACATTAACAAGAGCTCAAAAATGGCCAAATAAAGTAAATTTAGTCCGCGCATAAAACAAATCAAAGTGACTGGATCTCTTGTTTTCTTTACTATACACATACACAGTTATGTAATCAGTATTTCTACAACAAATGTACATTCAAAGGATCCGGAGCACAAAATGCATGCAACAGCATTTATTTCGCTTTGCACCATCTATATAATCAAATGGCATCACCATCTCTCTCCCCTTCACCTTTTGCCCGACTGCACCCACATTAAAAAACACTTTTTAGCAACAAGAGAGAGAGAGAAACATAAATATTTAACAAAATAAATATTTAAGGCATCAGACGTCGTTATGCCTTGCTCAGACTATATGAGGGTCGCCTACATGAATTTGGTAGGCCATTCTACTAAGACAAGGCATGAGTAAGAATACTAATAAGAATAATCAGAGAGCAAAGATAGTCACCTCAAAAGACTTGGACAATTCCCTCATTTGCTCTTCAAATTGAAGCCTCTTCTGGATAGCTGGAAGAAAGAATGTATTAGGCTTTTGTTTTGAAAATGTAAAGAAATAAAGAACTCCACATTTAGACATCTTACATGGTAGAATTAAGATGCACTTCTAAAATCCTTTTTTAAAAAGTTGTTTTGATGTATATATAAAAAAAGAAATTTCTAGTCCTAAAATAGTACATCTTGCACACATCAACTAGATCATTCATTTTTTAACCATTTTTAGAGTTTAAAATTTTACTACCACAGATTAAAGTAGATTTTCACACCACCCTAAGACTCTTGTTATGAAATTTGCATCTCATGCAGTTTGAACCTTGAAGGTGCACATTAATTTGGTTGTTTAAGGTTGCTACATTATGCAAACCATAACCTTTCTTTATTGACATAAGAAAATAAACAAAGGAATTGTTCATTTAAGCCCATCCAGTGCAAGGTTAAAACAAAGTAATTCGAACAAGAAAAGAAGTTATAACCTTTGGCTGAGACATCCTCTATTGTCTTTGAAGTACGCACTGCAAACCTTTGAAAGGTAGGACTAAATGAAACAAAACAAAAATGAAAGACCCATCAGGAACAAAATAATTAAACAAAGAAACATTTTCTTACAAGTAATATGAGGCGAAGAATCTTAGAAAATATAGAAAGATCTGAGAGAAAGAAAGCTTGTTTTTATAGGTAAGCAAAGAACATTTTCTTACAAGTAATACAATGCAAAGAAGCTTAGAGAACAAAGAAAGATCCAAGTGGGAGTGGGAAAACTGAGAGAACAAAGAAAGCTTGTTTTTATAGGTAAGCAGCTTAGATTCATGTAGGACCATGATATGATCTTAACCCTTGTAATTAACAAAATAATGTGAAAAATTAATAGAAAAAAGAGTATTAAAGAATGTAGATCCCCAACGTCCAAAATGCAAATCACATGCGCAAGTGGATAGCGAGGGGAACATTTTTGTGTTGCTTCCCAATCAAAGAATGCTACCAGGATAACTAGTATTACTCTGGCAGCCAAACTATACGAGAAGCCAGTAGGGACGAGAAGCCAGTAGGGAGAAGGAGATGCCACAATGACACCAAATTGTAGTTAATGTTATCATTGAATTAAAAAAAGAAAAAATAAAAGAACACAAATATCCTATCTCGGATTCGACATCACTCGGACTTGAACCCATCAAAATAACTGTAAAAAAATAAAAAAACTAAAAAATTATATATTTCTTAAAAATATTTTTAAAAATATTTTAAAATAATATTTTAAAATAATATATTTCTTAAAAATATTTTTTTTGGATGTTTTGACAGTTTTCAGGATAGTTGGGATCTTTTATATTTTTCCCTTATTTCTACATGTTGGGAAATTATCACTAATATACTTTTATTATTAATATACTTTTATTTTAGCATTTTAGTAAAATCAGAAGGAAAAAAAAACCTAACTTTTCAAAACCTCGCCTACACCCCTTTTCAAGAATTTCAGCTTTTTTTAAACCAAAATAAGCTTCATGGTAGTGTTTTTACCATAATAAATTTTAAACTTTACAATAATTAAAACACCGTAAAAAATTCAAAGAGTATTACAATAATTAAAATACCGTAAAAAAATTCAAAAAATATTACCATAATTTTAAATAATTACATTACAATAATTAAATTATCTTAATAATAATTCAAACTATTACCGAATTTAAATTAGAATAAAGATCCTTTGAAACCCTCCCACACCCATGTATGTAAGACCCTAAAAGATCACCATTAAATTTCGATAAAATCTCTATAAAAGTCACCACAAAAATCTCTAGAAAAATCAAATCCCCAACCAAATTGAATGGTGATCCTTTAGAATCCTACACTGGGTATGGGAAGATTACTCTTTAAATTACCATAATACTCTTTGAATTTTTTATAGTATTTTAATTATTGTAAAGCTGAAAATGTATTACGATAACAAAACTACTATGAAGGTCATTTTGGTCCTAAAAAACCAAAATGTGTAAGAAAAGGTGTAGGCAAGGTTTTAAAAAGTTATGAGGTTTTTTCTGATTTTACTAAAATAAAGGTCTATTAACAAGAAGTTATCTTTATAGTTTTATTCAACCTTCTAATTAATTTTATTAACTTTAAATACTTTTCCTAATTTCAATTTTTAGAGATCTTTACCTTTATTATTTTACATTCTAAAAAAGTGGTGTGCATAACTTGGTAGAGGCTGATTCACTTCGATTGAAAGCTGAAAATTACAAATTCCTACAAATAGTCAAGTTATCTAAAATTGACCCAAGTTTTCAAAAATTTATCCAAGATCCAAGTTCACAAAAATTGATCCAACATTTTCTTTGTGGTGTGAATTCAATTCCATATATTTTTTTAATCTTAAAAATCTTCATATTTTGGGTTCTACCAGAAACTGCTATCCACATTGGAAATTTTGTTATAAACTGAATCCATCAGAAGTTGGTTATAAACTGAATCCAATAGAGGTATAACCAGTTCGAAAAAGAAACACCATGCCAGGGGAATGTTGGCCCTTTCAAAAATAACGAGTGTCTCGAAAGAAAAGTGCTCGATGTGGGATTTTCAGTTTCACATATAATGAATTGTCTAAAATTTGACATCTATTAGCCATTTAAGCAAAAATTATGAAGCCACTTGACATAAATATACATCAATAAACATTTGAAACATTACTTCATACTTCAAAGTTAACTCAACAAATTCCACTACCCAAAAAATAAAAATAAAAGTTACAAAGGTACAAGTTTATTGTATGGTTTCTTTTTGTGTTGGATTCAAGAAAACCCTAAAAAAATAAAAAATTCAACAATTGGGTGCCCATGCCTCTAGGCACCTGCCTACCCTAGATTCCCCAATCTAGCAAGTTTTCCAAGATTGATACAAGTCTATAGAGAATATCCACGAAGAATCAATCACTAGAAATCACATGCACCTTTTCTATTGAACTAATCTTACAACTTCTGGAAACAAACTAAGCAAAGAGAAATAGAAGTGAGACAAGGTCAAGGGCTTGGACGTGCAGACTCAGTCCCTTAGATGTTCTTTGATTGCGATCATAACCACATTCATTACAGGTCTATGGAGTCATCACAGCCATCAGTCCAAAAAGATCTAAAATTAGAGACTACACGAGCTATACATTAAAAAAAACACTACAATGAAAATAAACAATTACACATTTGAAATACAGGTCAAATCATGTTGCCCAAAAATAAAAAAAAGCAACATTTTTGTAGGTCATTGTATATATCAATACAACACAAAAAAATCATTTATCCAACCCCAAGTGACCAAATCATTTCTTGCAACATAAAAAATGATTTAAATCAAATATAATATTGCAAACCTCTTCAAAATTTATGGGAAGAGAGAATACCCACAAAAGTTACATAGACGGAAGAATGCAAAACTCAATCTTGCTCCAAGGGAACGAATCAAATGGAAATGAAGAAATTCCAAATGACCAGATAAAGGAGCAATCACCAATTTCTAAGTGACAGAGAACAGCAAAAGAAACAAGAACAAAACGCTCGTCAAAGACAAATTCTTAATAAACAATTCCTCGAACCAATTCAATAATACGATTTTGGAATATAAAGGGAACAGAACACTCACATACACAATAAAAGAGAAGAGACAACCATAGAAAGAGAAAGAGGGGAAATATCAATGTATTCAACCTTCCCTGAAATGCATCCATTAAGCGGTTGCATTGATCATAAAAAGGGGAATGGTGAAAAGCTTAATGTTGCTTCAAGGGAACGAGTCATACAGGAATAGAGAAAAATCCTGGGGACCAGATAAAGAAGCGATCAATCCAGACGACATCTAAAAGGGCCGGGATCCCAGATTGGTAGCCTCTTTGCTCTTTGCTCTTTGCTCTTTGCTCAGGAGTGTGAGTGGACGTAGCCTCTCACGGTAAGGAATTGAATGCAAAGAAAACAGGAATTTTACAAACAATATCTATCATTGGTAATCAATATCTATAGGTAATGTAATCAGAGAGAAAAAGAGGGGAAATACTAATGTATTCAACCTTCCCTGAAATGCATCCATACGGTTGCATTAAACAAAAAAGAAGAGGAATGGTCAAAAGCTTAATGTTGCTTCAAGGGAACGAGTCATACAGGAATAGAGATTAATCCTGAGGACCAGATAAAGAAGCTTTAACAATGAATTAGCAGCATCAAAAGACCGCCAAAAACCAAGAAAAAAAAGAGAAACACTAAAGAAAACCCTAGATTTCAATCACAAAAATTGCAAAAACAAACGCCCAAAAAATCATGAGTTAAAGAGAGAGAGAGAGATGACCCATCACCTGTTGGCTAAGCCTCTAACCACGACCTCGTTCACAACATAAGAGATCAACCTGTTCAAGAAAGCACACCCTCCAGCCATTCTCTCTCTCTATCTCAACAAAATTTGCACCAATCTCTCTCTAGAAACTTCTGTACCAATCTCTCCCTAGAATGCTTCTGCCATCAGAAACCAAACCCCAGAGTTTGTACCAAACCCTAGATTTCGCTTTTGGAGAAGAAACCCTAACCTAAGCAAAATATCAACGGATGAGTCGAAAGGTTAAAAAGGAGAAATTTATAGAATGATTCAGATGGGGGCACGTGAGGTTAAACGGTTTGGATGCTATCCTCTTTAATCAACGGTGGAGATCAACGAAATCACACTTAACCAAATATCTGGAAACTTCTGCATCGTGACCTTTTCTCTTGCCTCCTAAAATGTAAGAAAAACATCCACGCTTTTCAATTAAGATTTACCTTGTGTTTTACAGTATGATACCAGTGCTGTTTGTATATGGTTGCAAGCTTAAACAATCCAATTAAGTGCACGTCTGTAATATTTGTATAAATGTAAAATATTTTTAGGAGGGTTTCAAAATCTATTTTTATTTGTAATTATAAAATTTTAAACTCAAAAAATGGTTAAAATAAAGTAGATCTAAACACATATTAAAATCTTAAGAATTGACGGTCCAGATAATGTGTTGGAAGATATACTATTTCGCAAACTCGAAATCTTTTTTTCTTTTCATATTCATACATCTCGATGTAGAGATGATCAATTAGAGGGTTTTTCAACATCCAAATAACTTTTTATGATAGATTTTTAAGAGCATCTTTGGTTCTACATTTTAAAGTTGCAACTTCATGTAAACTTTTTCCTTTTCATATTGTCAAAAATAAATTTATCAAATGAACAATCGTTTCATGCAAGCTGGACTGCATTTGTACAAACATGCGGTCTAGAGATATAAAGCATCTATCTTAAATATAGATACAAATAGATAAAAACAATTGTAACTAACAGTCTAATTGTGTTCTTAATATAATTATTTTTCTTAAAGGCTTGTGTTCCTCACTGAATTACTCAAAAAAACATAACATATCAATCGTTATGGTGGTACATATATCTAATAATACAATTATTCTTTCTAGTGGCCTATCTTCTCCACTGAATTACTCAAAAAAACATAACATACCAATCGTTATGGTGGTTCATATATCTAATAAAAAAATAGTGATGCGTATAGCTGCTGCTCTGGGTACAATCACTTAATGAATTTGTTGTGTTACCAAGGGGGAGTGGGCAATACAGTTGTTTTCCTTGTCACAAAGATCATGTCATCAGATTTCAAATTAAAGAGAATTGTTTCGGGCGTAACATTAGCCTTGCCATAGCCTAAGAAAATTTCCTTTTGGTCTTTGTGTAGAGACATGACGTAATTGTAGATGTTAAATTTGTTACATCCAACAAGTTTGTGACCTTTAAACACAAATTGCACTGTCACTATATACAATCCCTAATATGAAAATGTTTTTCTACATAAGAAATGCAGGAAATCATATTACCCTTTGTAACATGACAAATGGTTCAGAGGTTTTTTTGACATGCTAGATACACTAAGAAAACGACACTCATGTCAACCATTTTAGAAACCTTTCTTCTTGAGATTATTATAAGAAAATAAAAAGTATAACAAATTGGTCAATTTGCTTTTGGTGTGACGAAGTTGCAATCAATATCGGTCATTCCCTTGGCCAAACTCAAAATCCAAAAAATAAATTTCTTAACTTTGTTACCCCGGCACGCAATAGCTTAGTTGGCCAACCTCAAAACAACCGTGGCTGCCCAAGGGCCAGAGCTAGGCTTGAAATATAAGCTCAATGGCAAAGCTGTGTCAGGCAAGGCCATGCTAGGGCCATGGCCCCACATGCCTATCATGGTCACCAACTATTTTCTTTTTTCATTTTATATATTTAAAAACAAAAAAGATTAATATCTACTGGCCCGACCCATCCTCGCCGAACCCCATTAACTGAAACTAGGTCGGTTTAGGCCACCTAGCCGAAGAGTAGTGACTGTAACAATCCTAAAATTAAAAAAAAAAGGAGAAAAGATGCTTTTAAATAGGTGATGGTCTGTTTGAATATGATGGTCCTTGGGGACCATCACTATTTTCAAAAACTTTTACTTCGTTTAACTTTTGCTTGCCTTTACTTTTTTTTCTTTTTCCTGCTTTTGCCTCCTGCTGCTTGCAGCTGGCAACGTCCTTTAGCAGACGTGGTTTTCGTACGATAAAAGTCTACTTTTAACGCGACACCTCAGGTATGAGGTAGAGCGTAATAAAACGATATAATAATACGTTATAAGAATTTAAATAGGGGATGTGAGCACTCTCACCCTAAAACAAAATTTTGAGATCACTCTCTCTGGTCGAAACACAGTGAACTTCTCTCTCGAACCGAATTTTTTTATCGGAAGCTTCCTCTCAAACAATTGTGGGTAAGTGACATCGTCTTTCTGAAAAATAGTCTATTTTTAATAAATAGTGATATTTCCGTCTAGGATCTTTATTTTATCAGTTTTATGTGTAAGTGACCTCATTGTCTCGAAAAATAATCCATTCTTTTTAAAAATGAAATGAAAATAATTATTTCTGCTTATTATCATGAATTTTAGGCGAGATAAATTTTATGCGCACGTGACCTCATTATCATGAAAAATAATCTTTTTAATAAAAATTGTGATATTTTATCTATGTTAGAAATTTTGAATGCTGTAGATTAGAAAAATAAATTTATTTATTTTTCTTGTTTATTGTTAGAAATAAATGTGGTATTTCTGTTTTTAGTAAAATTGTGATATTTCTTTCTACTGTTTTGAAGACATTGTAAAATTCATGTGCAAATAACTGTCGTATCATTTAAAAATTGACATTTTTGCAATTGATTATAGTATTGTTGTGAAATGTTTATTTGCAAATTAGCATCCCATAAATTGTGATAATTCTCTATTCTTGAATTTTTATAAGAGTTTTTCTATACATATTAAATTGGCAATTGGGCTAGAATGCA